GTTTATTATTAGCAATGTTCTTCCGACGTTTGATTTCTTTTTAAAAAATGCGTTTCTAAAGTGCATAAACTTTTGGGATTGACTGTATAGCCAATACATACTTAAGTAATCGACATACGTCACAATACTTGTTTCGTACTGACTAATGACGTTCAGATTGTTGAGCAATAAATAGCAAACGCAACAGGCTAACTGGTCACGAATCGATACCGATGTAACAAGTTCGAGCGGCTTTTTAGTGAGAAATAAACAAACATACGAAGAGAGAAAGAAGACGCATCGATTAAGTTTGAGTTTACACTAGCGGTCCAGTCACGCTACGATCGAGAGTCAGAGGCAGAAGCTTCGGAACATTATCCGAAGCTGCGGAGCGTGACTGGCACATGAATGTCGACGAGCACTGGACCATCGAGGTTTATTCTCAGGATTCAAGGTTTTTGAACGCAGACGTGCGAATTCTGTGCTATTCTTTTGTTAACGCGCCCGGTTTCCTGCGTGCCGGCTGCTAATTCTGTTACCTTGGGAATTTACTTCAAATTGATCCTCCGTTACTTATGAATATTCGATGCACTGCTGCGCTGAGTTATTAACATGTGTATTATCTACAATGTTAGTTTATACAATGATATGTACAAGAAAGAAATATAAAAGCATTAAATTTGGTCGTAGCACGTGGCAGGGTGAATCAGCTGATAGAGTCACGAAAGCGTCTTTGTGAAATGAAAACAGTATTCGTGCAAGAAATCTTTTTGCCGAAAGTTTGCTGCTTCGACAGGGGAACGGCCAGATTTTGTCAGTGCCAATAAAATGCCGATTAATCGTACTTAACTCGTTAAATGTCGGAGTTAGAATAAAAATGTACAGAAGTTGTCTTGTATAAAAAACTTTTCGCGATGTACCCCAAATGTACCCCAAATGTACCCCCGAAGTTACTCATTAATGGCGGGCAACCAATCAGCAAACAGCAGCTGTTTGTCTCATTCGTCATTAAAAGATCTCTAATTACAACGTCACACGTTACACCAACTATATTATTAAAGTGAAACTTGTTTAAAAAATGGATTGTGAAACTGATACTGTCGAATTATCATCTGACAGTAGGTAGTTCATACTTCATTATTATTAATTGTAATATAAATATAATTAACATTCAACAATGCTAGGAAATGAAATCTACGAAGAACTTTATCGAATGGATAAAGAAAAGATTAAAGAAAGAATTGAATCAGAACTTTCGCGATATCAAGACGAATGCAAATCGACAGAAATCGAGATGGAACGCGTAAAACGTTTGATAAATGAGCGAGTATACGTCTTACAAAATTTGAAACGAAGATGCAATGATTTAGATAATGAGTTCGCGCAAATTCATCAAAACTATGTAAAGTGCGCTGAAATAGTATACTCGAACGATGAGGCTAGAGAATTAAATCGTTTAACGAAGGAACGAGAAAATTTGCAGATGTTATTGGAAACGTCAAAGAAAATTAATAATGAGAGTAATAAAGAATTGATTGAGATAAAGAAGAGAATTATGATTCAAGAGGTATATATTTATATTGTTTAGACAGGATTCTTCAATTTTTTTCATGCAATTGTTTTTAGAAAAAAAATATGGCACTACTTCGAAAATTAGTGAAAGCAGCACAGAAGGTACATGTACCGTCCGAGTTAAAAGCGAAGATAAATAAAATTATTAGTGATGCTACGATTAATTAAACAAATTTCCAACCTAATTACTAAGACGATATTATAATTATATAATTTAAAATTATAATATAATAATAAGAAATATATCCTATTAACATTATAATTCGTTAATTATTAATAAATTAGTAATACTATTTATTTACATACAGTAAAATCGATCAAATGATAAAGGCTAAAAGAAATTCCTCTCTGAATCTTATTCTTTAACTCGATACTGCTGAAGATCTGCAGTCTAATGATTATTCTATTAGAAATTGAGACGCCGATTGAGAGTAATCATTTGCACCGGGCAAGGAGGCAGCGATGCAAGTGGTATAACTTGTATGGAGGGATCCTCCATGCTGGGAGAGAGCAGCATTTTTTATTCTAATGCATGCTCGCCGATCGCCAAGGTAAACGCGCTCGGGAGTAGGCTTGCGAAAATAACAGAGTTCAGTACGTAACGCTGCCTCGTTATCAGCCACGATCTTCTCGCGAGCGAATCGCGATGAGTGTCGTTCAGCTAGAATCACGGAGCGATTGTTACAATTACAAACCAATATTACGCTGAATCAATGCTCATCTGTTTTATGGAATCTGTTTATTGGAAATTCCTTTTATTTTATTGTCGATGGCTTTAACATTGAGACGAACTGTGAATCGAATGCGGCATTGAGGGCAGAGTTTGGGTTAAGAGCATCGCGATTACGAATGAATGGACTCTTTGAGAAATCGCGCCATAATGATCGGGCTCTTCTCTTTGGATGTCGTCCAAGGATGAGTCCGCGTTTCCAACTGTGCTAAATCGCAGGAATATTTGTTTTCTTTACGGTCCAATAGTCTGATTCTTTCAAAGCAGCGATCCGTAATCTGACTCCTTTCTTCATCCCTCGGCCACCAGACCATTTAAGGCCGAAGCCAATTCATGATAAAACATATTTTTACATTAGATTTCAACAGACCTGGAAAACGATTTTATTACGTCTATAACAAATTTTGCAGAAAAAGTTGCCACGTTCAATTAAAACCTCCACTCTCACCAGGCATTCTCCTCGTTAATACGTCGTTAAGATAAAACGGAATATGATTTTCTCTCAAGTAAATGAAAACCCAGTCTCGCGCATAATACCGTAGGATTCTTATCGATAAACATATCCTGTGCCGTACGACTCTCGTTCGGCGTTTAATCGGCAAGAAAGTTCACCGTGGAAGCGACTTTGCTGGTTTCTTCTTTTAAACGCTACCAAATAAAGCGTCGAAAGGAAAGCTGCGAACGAAATCGTATACACGTTTAAGAGAAAAATCTCCTCGCCGATTCCCATAAAGGAGACGTGCATACGATTGCTCTCCGACACGGCTAAGCGCAAAACTTGTCGAGTCGACAAGCGCTGAAAATGGGCGCGGCCCGGAATGTCGATCGCTCCGAACGTAGACTAGAAACACAAGGTATTGCAAGGGTGAAGTCGCATTGCTTGGTCCAGCGACATATATCAATACAGAAATTCTATCTCTAACGTGCTACAACAAGTGTTTAAGAACAGTAATTATAATGGACAGAGTTAATACAATCTAATCCCTTGAGTCCAGAATAATTGGAATAATTAAACTTTCTCCACGAATTTAATGGCATATTTGGACACGATTGTATGTACATATACCGCGTATTCACAAATATTAGATGATAATGTAATTTAGAGTTTCAGAAAACTTTTGGAACAGTAAGATTTATGATCGTTGACTGGATAGAATAGGATGCATAATGCGAAACGATGTTACTTTGACACATCCTGTATTAACATCTGATCTCGTCAGCTGAGATTCCACGAGGCTTAAATCACTATGCATCGTGGAAAATTAAAGGCTATGCAAGTGGGATCCATTTGTCTCGACGTAGTAGCGTAACGTATGAGAAAAATACATATTGTACTTCCTGACATTATCACGTGGACCCGCATGTAATTATAATTACATACAGAGAAGAGGAAACTGCGTGTAAAAATTATTTTTTAACTAACGAAGTGGATTCTCTTCGTTCCACTAATTTTCTAGTTTGAGATACATTTATGAAATAACAGCTTCGAGGGTATTGAGAACTTGAAACCTTTAACGGAGTTCAGAAAAACGGTTATCCGTCTCTGTAAACGCGATACACGCGGCTTCCTTGTGAAACGTTTCAGGGAAGGTTCGTGAGAATTTCTTCCGTTCAACATCCACTCGCAATGCCCTCGAGAATGAACTTGACCTTCGACCCGAACGTTCACCTGCGACAAGGACGACGGAAGCCGAGAAGGAGATTCCGTTTCCGGTCTCGTACAACTACTTGTACAACTCTTTGTCTTAAAACATTTCCTCGATTTATAATATACTTCTCTTGGAGTGTACAACAAAAACCGATTACCGAACCGAAACTAAAGGAATTTGATCAAATTGGAGTTTGCGATCTAAATTTTTCGAACGAACAGAAAATTCCAGCAACGGAACACTGACCATGCAATAAACGAACTTTCAAACACGTTTACCGTAATTCCTATGCAACGTGTTATTAATTGGATCACGTATCGAGAACGATGTTTCTTCTATGAGAAACGAGCGATGCAAATTCCATGTACACAGAAGGAATCTTCACCGGTAGAAAAAATTCAGGAGTAGGTATTTCAGTATGATATCCGTGATAATTCGCCGTGGTGATTGATTGTCCATGATGACACGAACAACGTTACGAGAAAACCAGTTTCGTGTTGCGAAAATTATTCAAACTTAAACACATTAATCTCCGACGTACGGATCCGCAGAAATCGATCAAAACGATTGCCAGCCAGTTGTGTGATGAGAAAAGCGATTTTCATTAAAGAACGTGGAGATGATGAATTATTGAGTATAGGTGATGGGAGTTATTCGAACGGGCACAACGTGGCATCCTACATTCTCGTTTCGGGACCGAGTTGTATCGCGGTTCGGAGAAAAAAAAATGTTTTCGACCCACGAACCTGGATTTGGGCGCGCTTGACCTCCGTGTAGAGCCAGTTGTCCGTGGAAAAGGCGATCGCCAGGAGGCCAGTGGCAATGATACCGGTTATGGTTGCAAGGGACAGCGTCACCGCGGAACAGGGCATCTTGGTGTCCTCTTCGTCTCCTTTTTCCTGTTTATTTTCCTCGAATTCTCCCGTCGGACTCCACTCTCCGGTCTCTTTGTGTACGTTCACCTCACACGGCACCACCGCGAGCTACGATACTGAGGAACAGGTAGTCGTCGTCGTCGTCCTCGAGATTACCGAGCATCCGTGAAAAAGTGAAGCACGAAACGGGTCACACGAACCGTTCAGAACGGATTGCTCCAGGATACGAGAGAGGAAGGATCTCGATTCGATGACCGAACGTCGTTCGTGGCTCGAATACCCGAACAAACGAAACGAGGAAGGTGAAGAAGGACCAGTACTCGGTGATGACGACGTCCTTCAGGGTGCACGGTACTCCGCGATACACATTACTACCATTCTCTCCTACGACAACGACACTAACGGCCCGACTCACCTCGGAGAAAAGCTGAGAGTCGACCAAGGAGAGAGAACCGGACTCCAGGTGGGGATGGATGTAGCCTCAGGCAGGTATATTACCTGTGTTTTACCTTCAGCGGTGCTCAACGCGTCGTGTTCCTAAGCTTATCCACGATCCGCGACTCGCCTTCGAAATGCCTTCAATCGAACTAGAGGGACTAATCGTTCGTTCGCTTGAGGAACTAATAAAACGGTTTCATGGGTGTATCTCTCTAAACGGATATTTCTATTACTAAAGCATGTTCCGACTTGGTTTCTGGTACTGCGAGAGCTTGGAACGCGGTTCTCTTGAGGAGAATCTAGGGAGACTTCAATGCCCGCACGAATTTCTTTATATCCCGTACAACCTCGAGAATATGATTAGACTGTGAGATATTTTATCAAACAGTAGAAGAATTATTCATGACTTTGAAATGTCAGTATCGAACTATTAAATCTTATACATCGAACGTGTAGGGTAAATATGGATTGGAGTGAACGTAGAGATGAATCCAGAGACTGCGATCGCATACGAAAGTCGATGGAATTCCAGAAAATGAGAACAGTTTCGCCGTAGCTATCTATCTGCTTCCATAAAGCATTCCTTCCTTGTTCTTTTACTAAACAATCCCACCACGCTAAGATAAATCCGATTCAAACACAAGGAAACAGAGAGGAATTCCTCGCATGCTACGAATAAATCATGAATCCTTTATCGTTTCACGTGAAGTCTTTTTTTATCGCATTGTTTGAAACTTTTAATGTCGCGGAGTTGAAAATAGATTTGCAGACGAACGAGAAACACCTGCGTACCTGCGGGTTCAATGCAGGTACCAAGAACCTTCTCACGGATAATGGGTTTTCGACCCAGCTTATTCCCGTCAATTTCACACGTGCGAACAAAAAACTCGATCATAAATTATTAGAGCAGGTACCTATTTAGTCGGTCGTAAACACTTGGCAAAAGTCATGCGAAAAAGTAATTTTAATATATAGGTGATAATAAAATATATTTATTGTAAAATATACAGATAGTTCGAGTACATTTAATACAATTTACATCAATGAATTAAATAAAACACTAATTAAAGTCTATTATCGAAGGATCGTAGGGCGTGCCTTCAAATGGAGATCCTTTCACGTCCCAAGCTTTCCTCAATACTTTTTCCATTTTCTACAACGGAAAGAAGCGTTAATAATCAATAATTTTTTATCACATCTTTGCGGTAAAAAAATCGCTTACAATTTGTTCAGAAGTTGGTTTGCCCAAAAGCTTTTGTTGATGATTCCACATCAATTCTTGAACCTTCATTTGTGCTTCTGAATCCATATCCTCTACATTTCTTGAACAATCTATTTTACTTAAATCAATTTTTACCTCGCCTTCTATTAATGCCTCCCACCACCTGTCGGAAGCTTTCTCAAGATGAATCTGCAATTAACAAAATAGATTACAATCAAATCAAATTCGCAGATACGTTTAAAATCCTATTGATTACTTACGCTAATATACTGTCCAGGTATTATGCTCCAGATTGACTCGTCTTTTCGAATTTTGAAACACAATTCTCCATGAAAAATTGTGGTCCATACAGAATATCGACATTCCTCTTTCTCCTGATTCTCTTCAGCCCACGATGTTCTTGCTTCTATCTTGATTTCTTTCGAATCTATATGAACTCTTAGATCTTTTGCATTCTGCACAGAATCTGGTAGCATCACCAGTACATCTATATCACTGATACTTTGCGACCAAGTATAATTCTCCCTCACTGCACCATTGTAACTATCGGACACTTTGTCCTTATCAATTAATCGTCTAGATCGGTTTGTAATTCGACTTTCCTTGCAGTCTGTTTCAATCTCTACTTCGTAATCAGCTTGTGGAACGTGAGAATCTTCTTCTACTGCCATTGATTCATTTTGACTTTTATCAGTGTCCTGTATGAGAGTTTCCTGATTGTTTACAGGCTGTGCTCCACCGGGATATTTGGAAATGTTCTTCCACTTTTTAAAACTATGTAAAACAAGTTTGTCTATCATACCTGGTGGGAACCCCAGCTTTTGATCTGGTCCCAATTCAACATAAAAATCTGTACTGTAAAAGAATTATATTTCATAATCTGCTTTATGTCAGACGCATTCATACTACTTACCATCTGTACAAAAAGCCAAAAAATGCATCCAAAAAATTCGTAATATTTCTTTCTTCTTGCAAGATGTGTAGAAATGCCTGATCGTGTTCAGAACTCATCGTGAAGCCTCGGAATGATCGTTCTTTCGTAACTCTTTCGACGATAACGTTTCCTCTACTGATAATTCAATTAAATTTACCGCAGAACAGTGAATGCATTTTCTAGCTGGAGATTATCTGCTGCTTATAGATCACTTGTTTCTCGTCAATTTATTTTCTTTACCAGGTTATCCCGAGGACCACTCGAGAAATGTATGAGACTTTGTTTTAGCTGATAAGATTTCAATAATTATAATTCGGTTGGTCATGAAACGAATGTAAAAATTTCAACGGCCGTACGGCCTTTTGTATTCAATTTTTTTACTGTTTTTGGTGTAAGTTGCTGAATGAAATATCAACTGATGACAACTTGTGAACAGTGTGTGGCGTCCTCTTAGAATCAATCTCGCATTGTTTATATGTTCGACGTGCAGCACTGTAAAATAATGGTAAAAATAAGCGTTTAAATGAAAAGAAGATTATTGTTAAAAAGTTGTTGTTATATATCAATAAAATGATTCCGTAAACTGGCAAAAGGTTTACAAAAGGAACATTTCACTTTCGTAACCTGTTTCTTTAAAAGAATCGAATAACTCTAAATTTACACTTTCTAAATAACATTTCGACTAAAACAATGACCAGTGAATTTTCATTTACCCCAGAAATTGCGAAAGGTACATACACAAAAATTTATGATGTTCAAATACGATGTCCTCGGTACCATAAATAAATAAATAAATAATCTCTTTTAGCTGTTTTAACTGACATTTTAACAGCGTTAAATACGCCTGAAAATACTCAAAAGATTGCAGAAGCCAAAGAGAACTCTGGGAATGAAATGCTAAAAATGATGCAGTTTGTATTTCCTATCGTTGTTCAAATACAAATGGATGTTATTAGGAATTATGGTTTTCCAGAGGGGAGGGAAGGTATGGCTGTTGGAATCGCCTCATCAAACATTTTTTTACAAATTTATTACCTTTCTGTTTACAGGTACAGTTCAATTTGCACAACTACTCAGAATCTTAGAGAGGGAACATCCTGAGATTGCACAATTACACAGTCAGGTTCGTTCATATTTTCTTCCCCCAGTTACAATAAGTTCTTCAACCGAAGCATCTTTATGAAATAAAGTAATTTCCATGTACAAGAATTTTTTTATTTATGTTCATGTAAAGAATCGTACAAGCTGCTTCTGTATCTAATATAATAAAACATACCTAAGGGATCTCTTCAAATCAAATGTTCGATCAGGAAAATTAAAAATTTTTTTTATATTTATTTGTATAATAATAATATTAATAATAATAATAATACAATCTACTAAAATATATAATTTCGTTCATAATTGTTCTTTAAATTTTCTCTGCACTTACACCAAGTCTAAAAACTAAAATAGTGCTCCATCGTTCGCGTGAAAAATGAAGCTGTGGTACATTATAATATGCACAGGTATTAAGAAGGAACACATACTTGGATCAGTATCTAGAAAATAAACGCCTTACAACGTTTCGTCGACGAAAAAGAAAAATTTCTAACATGTATACCATATCGTATCGAAATTCTGCTTGTAAAAAGCACGTTCAAATTTGAGTTTTATCATATAATCGTAACTTCATTGTTCCGCGAACATCCGGCTAAATACGCATTAAATATACAATTTTAATTATATAAGCAAGTATGTTGAAAATGCATAATGAAACAAAAATTATTAATTTAACGAAGAATAATACAATGGAATTATTTAAGCAACATTTACTTAACAAAATTCGAATCGTGCAACTCATGTCTAATCTACTTAGAACAAGCAGACAGATATATTGTTCCCCTTTGCCAATCATTGAACGTACGAAACCGTCTTCTCGTATAAAATTGTAAAATGCATCGATATTTTTCAAAAAGGAAATGCTGAGTCGAATATTAAGACTATCAGTAAAGTAGATTCATAAAAAGTTACTAATAAATACGCGTTGATTACCGACTATCATCTTTACGATGCGAATCATTCTTCCTTTCCCCATGAGATGTAATGATAGCCTTAAACATTCGGCAAATATTCACAGCATATGAAACAATAAACTCTCTCTCTCTCTCAGCAATAATTTCCTTCGAAAAATAGAAAATAACTAATATGCTTAGAAAACACTTTCGAAGTTTTATTTAGAATAATCTACACGTTGAATGAGTATAGAAGGAAAAAGAGACTTGACAATTGAGGAACGAGATATGCTGTAACGTATTTACAATATCTTTTCTTTATATAAATCAAGGTACGATTGTAAATTGTTTTGCATACGAAGAAAGCTAACGTATTTCTCATTACCCTTCGTTACCAGATCATGTTGGTTCATTAAATCTGACAGTCGAACGAACAAAGATACCGCGCTTTCAAAAATTTCTAAAACATCCATAGAGACCAACGTTAACCACCGTGAATTGATGGTGAGTTTCCGTGAAATAGTAGAATGCACCGAACTTTCACTTACAGAAAAATGCATATTAATATCTATAGCAGTGTTTGGTTCTCTGCAGTGCATGAAGCCTATGCAAATATCTTCGTGATAATTGCCCCAAAACCCAACGGGTAATGTTTTATAAATAAATTAGACTTACACATACGTGCTTACTTGAACAACATTAGAACATGTGTTTACCGTGCCAGTCGCGTGACTGCACAATTGCCTCATTCGTATTTAATCCAAGGTTGTCGAATGTGTAAATAATTAGCTCAACGACATGTCGTGTCACTAGCATATGCGTTTCCTTTTGCAACATGATAATATTAGTTATAAAAAGCATGCTATTACACGAATATTTTCACGAACCACAATCAATGCACGTACCACAGTAAACGTATAACATAAATTGAAAAACCCTGTTCGATATAATATATTTCTCTAAAACAATATTGCAATCTCACGTTAGTCGCCAAAAACGTGTATGTATAAATACAAAAATAAAAGAAATCATCGTGACGATACGTTTGAGTCTACGGCACAATGAAAATCTTACTTGACGTTTTTCCATTACCAATCTCGCAATAATACGTAAAATATGTACTACAAATGGAAAAATGATTCCTTGTAAAATTGAAATACACATTGGGAGCGCTTAAGCGTTGAAAATTGAAATATGATCTAGCTTTTAAACTTTTTATTTCATTTATTGCATACGTATTATCTTTCCCTGTTGGGTAGTTCCTCATTCACCATTGGTACACAATAGGATACAAGTAATAAAATTGTAAGACACAAGTATTTATATAGTAAATGGAAATGGAAATGTTTCATAGACTCTTGAGTTATTACAGAGAAATAAATTTTAGTTGCACCCAATGAGAATTTTCATCGATTCAATCTGATTAAGCAAGCTATTTGTTAGTTACTTTTATTCGAGCTTCTTCCTTTCACTTGGAACGAGTAAAACGAAATTAGACAAAAACGTTTGCATTAGATATTTCACTTCCATCAGACCTTGTTTGTTATCTACTTGCACTTGTATTTACCGAACGAAGCTACTTCATTAAGAGCGTGAAACTTATACCGTACAGGGTTGCTGCTAAAAATCTCGAATACTTTCTAAACCACAGTGCTCTTGATTTTCGACTGACATCTTCAACAATTATCATCATCAAGCTACGAGAGGAACGGATTCGCTGTAGTAGTTGTATTCGCTGTCCAAGGATCTTGTCGAATTTGATTGATCGAAGGACGGGGTGGTGGTGCTGTTGCCGTCGCAAATGGATTCGCCGAGTATGAGATGGTCGCTGTAAAACAATTGATAACGTTTATTCAATCCATTGCTCGTCTTCACTAATTAACATATCCGTTGCGTATGCTCTATCAGCGACACATGCGGCATAAATTTACAAATGCATCAAAACTGTAACTCCCAACGTGTTCAACTTCAACCGTAAACACAATTAAAATTTTATCTTCAGGATATCTCCTGTACCCGATATCTGCGTTTTTCGCTGCAAAGAAAATTCAGAAAGAACGCAAATTTGGTAGAACACAATACGATCCGAATCATGCAATCATGCAACGTCCTTGTTCACTTTTGTAAATACTCACGAATTTACTTCCAACGATATGCTATGTTGTAGACAAAATATAATGATTCAGATTGATTCTGGCATACATAACAGATTTTAAACTCTTATTTCGAAATGATATTCTCCGATTTCGAATAGAGCGTAAAGAATTCTAAAGACTTTACCAGCTGCTGGTGTAGACGTTGTAGACTTGATCGCGCTAGCGCTGACGAGGTTGTCAAGATTGACAAGAGCAGAGTTCTCTCCAAGGAACGATTGCGGTGTTTTCTTAACAGCTCCAGTACTCGTAGGAAGAGTTTCGGCTATACTACCCAAATCAAACGGATCCTGCGATAGCGTACTTCCTGCGATAAGATTAAAAGAGCAAGGTGTTGACTCGATTTTTGTATAGCTGGAGAAAACAAGAGCCAAGACAATAGATACCGTTGTTTGCAGGTTGTAGATTAGAAGCATTTTTGTTTCTGTTGGTGATCACATCGAATTCATCTAAATCGCTCAGTGGACTGGCCGCGGAACTATTGTTTTGATTCCCAACAACGAAATCGTTGAGACTAGGCCCAGTACCGTTGAAACCGTTGCTAGTTGTATTGAATGTACCGCTCGAAGTTGTAGGCAAATTGAATCCTATGTTTTGCGGCGATTGTGCCGCGAATCCGATGTTTTGCGTTAATGTCGGGTTGTTAAACGAGGGTGAGACGGACGTCGCACCTTCTCGACCACTCTATACAATTAAAAGATAATTAGATCGATTTGACATGAGAAACTTTTGTGAATGGTTAAAGGAATAAAACATTTTACCTGCTTTTTATTTGTATCAACTTCGGTAGTAGTGGTGGAAGGTATCGGTGACCAAGGATCCGCCGCGGGGGCAGTTGTAACCGTCACAGGCGATGACGGAGGTGCTCGCCACGGATCAACGGCAGCAGCTATGGTCGAATTAAAAATCAATTACGCCGGAACTAGAGACTGTATTTTGTCTTCATTCGAATAAATCTTACTTGGTCTCTGAGATGGAACAGGAGTCCATGGATCTAGTGCAGGAGACGTACTGCTTGTTGTAGGAACGCTCCATGGATCATTCTGGGTCTGCGTAACAAAATAACATACAAATCCCAAATTCGACAAATAAACATGAAATTCGATAATTTGCGATTAAATGATGTTTTACAATTCGGCTACTTTGTTGGTCGAACATACCTCGAAGGTAAGAGGGGAAAACTGAGATCGTTGCGTAACATGCAAAGGGCAGCGTAAAATCAATGTCATCATGCAACTGAAACATTAAAGCAACGAGTCTTACGTACCTGTCGTATAGGCGGTGGCGGTGTAATGGGTATACCCCAAGGGTCGGTTTTTACATTGTATCCACACGCTTCTTCCAAATTTACATCCAACAGATCTAGCATATGACTTTGTTTCTCAGATTGCGGGGCTCTGTAATTAATACGTTTCGTAAGTAAAACAGAAAATGAATAATGCCGAGACCTAAGATAATTTCTACTAACTTGAAATCTTGTTGACTTTGACTAAGAGCTAATTGCAATCTGACATCATCGCTGCGTCTTCTCTGCTCTTCCTGTTCGGCTTCTTCTCTCGACATTGCTAAAGCTAATTGTAGCTGAAGCTCTTCCTCCCCTACTGTTTGCGGCCTTGCAGCTTCTAATTCAGCTAACATATACATCACATTTTAGTAGTACTAAAGGTATTTTTAATTCAACATATTTATAAGATAATACACACACGATAGAAGACAAAATAATACATAATACGATTATTAAAAATTTACGCGTACGTCTGGCCGCAGTCTCGGAGGATCCTAGACGACACGGCTCCCACTCCTGGAACTGTAGGAAATGTGTTTTTAAATATCTTCGATCGTTAAACATTTTCAAATTTGCAATCGATCTGAGCTTACGTCGCTGCTCACTGGTGACATAGTATCTAATCCATCGCTGCCAAATCCGCTAACCGATTGCGCAAATCTTTCTTTCGCCTTCAGCGCTCTAGCTCTTTCATTTCTTAGTCTCTCATCGTCTTTTAATAAGGCCACTAATTGTTTTGCTTTTTCTCTCACGTTCACGCCCTGGTCCTTAGACCCTTCCATGTATTGAAAATCTGAATAAGTAAAAACAAGCCATGTATCGCAAGGTATCAATGACTTTATATTAAGATTTATCTTATTAAACGAATTGCTCACCTTTCAACGTCTGGATGGCAAAAATATTTTCTTTACACTGCTGTGCAACTTTCTCTGTGCCCGTTTTAATGAGATATTCTAAGAGAACTAAAGCTTTGAACACGTGTCGCCAATTTTTTCCATGATCGTTCAATCTCTTCCACAACATTTGCATAATTTCAGTAAAAGCCACGACGTTGTACGTCAAGTCAGCAATCTCTGCCATGAGCGTACTGCTCGGACCCCAAGGGTCGTTGCTAGTGGCTTCGCGTACAGCTTTCTACATGCGACATGTGTTTCGTATTTTAAATACATTTATCTTGTAGAATTGTAGAAAATGGGAACGCAATAGTAGAACTCAATTACCTGAGCATTGCTATAGTTGTGAGCAAGATTAACAATATCTCGCCTGATACCCGCCAAATTCACCTGCATCACGTCTTGACCTTGTCTTCTCATCTAAAACATTGTCACTGTATATTACGAGCAGGTAGTAACATTCGTGTTTACTTTAGAAGCCCATACTTATCATCCGGTGCATTCACATTTTTTATAAATCAAAATTGAATAGGTGCTATTGTTTTCGAGTCGACGAAACCGAAACTGAATTTAGCTGTGTTTTAAACAAAATTCGGTAATAAATATGGGCAGTTATTTCATACCAAAGCCATGCGTTTAAATATGCGTTAGTAAGAAAGCAGGAAATATATTTGTGACTTTTTTATATTCCTACTCTACTTTTGTCAAATGAACGTGTTATTACTACTTTCTATCTGGTTACTAGTAATACGGATGAAAGTAGCCAAAGTAAAAGTGTGAGTAGTACAAAAGTAAGGAAACCCTCTTTAGTGTTTTTTCCTCATAACATCTCTAAACTGCAAAAGGAACGATATGCAAAAAAAGATACAACTGGATAAATTCTCCCTTATATGTATTTAAAGCTCCAAAGCAGATTATGTTTCTTTGAGATGTGCCTACGTAAATTCGTACCCAAGGTCAGAGGTTCTAATTAAATCAGTATATCGTGTGTTACACGTAAACTGTAACTTGTATTATCATGATAATTTTTTGTAACGGAATATAGCTTTTTCTGTGATATTTTGGACAAAAATTTTTAACGAAATTTTATCAGCGTTCATGAAAAAAATAATTTCATACAATACTGACTTGCATAATGTGTAGAACTTATCACCGTTATATAATTTTGCAAAAACTAAAACAAGTATAAGTTCAAGTATGTGCTAAAAAACGTGAGCTCTAAACACTATTTTTCTCATATATCTTTACATATACAGGATGTTAAATATATTACGATCAATTCAATTACTTGCTATTCTTCGATCCATGTCATTTATAATTTTTTCGATTTTTAAGGAAACAAGTGTTTCGTGCAAACACCCTGTATATAATTTATTAATATGGTTTGCGAAACATTTATCTACATTGTGTGTTCTTTAGATATTTTCTAACAACATGATTGATTAGTAAAGTAATAATACTTGTTATTTTGTTAACTGCGACCAGTTAATGAAATTTACCTTCTGCATAGCCATTGTTGGCATACGAAATGTTGCTGGTGTCGTTGATGAAGCTAGTTCTTGTCCACAAATACAGACAACTCCCAAACACTTTTCGAATCACAATAAAATCCTAGACTATTACATAGCTTTATAAATAAACAAGGAACATTTGTTACAATTACCTGTCAATGATTAATGAATCCTCACTTAATGTATGAATGATAATACAATTGACTGGGGACAGTCTCAATGGAACTTTAATGACCTTACTGATTATTATGCAAATGAATATTGCACAGAATACTGCATTCTTTGCTTTTCTAATGCTTAGCACATCATAAGCATATGAATTAAGCATCGCATACATAAAATGTAACACATTTGGAAAGTATTTATGAAGTAGATAGGCACAACTCGTATCCTTCAGCTGTGAATACCTTTTTAAAGATATTATATACAAGGCATGTAACTAAATTATTGTAGAAATGTTGAGAAGACTTTGCACTATGAGTAATTAATATTATAATCATAGAATACATAATAACAAAGCAAACGTAATAGAAGAAAGAGAAATATTACCTCCCAAGTCTTTAAGAAATTACTGTTAAGAGTAAATAAAAAAATACAATAGAATTAAATAAAGCGATTAAAAGAAATATTAATAATTCACATAATCTGTTGTATCTAAAATTACTCTCTTAGATAAAAAAAGTCACAGTTGCAGTTTTTGTGCAATATTAATATACGTATGAAGATTATTTAAATGTATTTCTAACATACGTATATGAGGTAATTGATTAATTATTAAAACTACTTATTTTCGTTTAAATGACAATACCTCTTGCAAGCACTCGGATAAAGAAAACTGAATATATAGAAATTAAAGAAAGGAGATTTCTTATATTGGAGAAAATAATAATTCGAACCAAACTACCATGTTAAAAAACAATAGACCGCATGCAATTATGAGGAAAAATAAAATCACTTACATTGATGGAATGGAGGTTTCAAATTTTCCTTGAAAAAAGCCTTGTTATTAAACTGGAAAGTGAAGAGGAACCTTTATTATCACTTGATGTCATTATGCTGCTCTTATCTTATCACTACATACAATAGAGGAGCTTTTCACAAAGGAAATGACATTGATATGTTTGTTTGAAAATTCGTTCAGAAAAATGGACTATTAGATCTAACAAGACATCTAGATATCTTAGGAAAAATTGTTCTGTGATATCACATTACTTTTTCTAGTTGTTAAGATTATCTTTACATGGTCTCTTTAAGGCACTTGATAAATGTTCATTACATAATAATAATTCTTAAACGTACAGTCAATAATTGTTGGAATAAAAAGCAAAATATGAAAATAGCAAAACATCATAATGATGGAAGTAAAGAGATGATCAATATCTTTCTTCGAACGTGAAGAACATATTCAGCATATTATCTCATTATTTGTCTTTCGTTTAAATATGCATAAATTATTTCTTGCCAAGCACAAAAAGTTAGTCACTGAACGCTTAGGTTGCATTGTTCAAAAGTTTAAATCACCACGATAAATTATTGACGGACGTAGGTATGTAAGTAGGTGTGTGCGTTAAAGTGACAATCATATGCGAATACGAAAATTATGATTTCTCCCGTTGGATTGAAATAATAGTGGAATATGCACGATTCGTCTTAGTAGATATAACCATCGTAACAGATATACGTACACTGACTTGGGTGCAAGGCTAATCCATGAAAATACGTAATAGTATAATATCAATTTCGAAACTCTATCTATGCTTTCTCATGCTCGGGCGTGACTTTGTAACGCTGCATTTTTCTCCTTTCATTCCATATACAGGATAACGTGGAATGAGTTAAAGGGGACAAATTAACGGAAAAGACACATCACGAGAGCATCGAAGGAACACTATTGTATCGCCGAAACGGAACCAAACTTGCGCTCTTTTTGTTCCACGGACTTCTATACCACTTGTAGTTACGTGCGCAACGGCGATCAATTTCTACAAATTTTGTTTGCGACCTAACGTGCAACTCTTTACTTACCGCAATAGCTATACTGTAAATTTAATGCACTAATTCGAATCGAAAGGAGGAACAAAATAATATAAAACACTTTATGACAAGTCCATTCACAGGCACCGACGAATTAGAAATTACGAGGCAAGATGGCGCTGAAAAATATTTCCTTCACCGCTGCTGCACCGCTGCTGCACCGCTGCTGTCTCGCGTTCCCTGATACGGATCGACATTCCGATTTCCTAATACGCGAACAAAACGGATGCAAATGAACTGAAGTTGTTTTTATTAATGAGCATACATCAGCTTTACAAGAGATGCATCAAACATTTAACGTACTACGTGACGTTTTATTGGGACCAGGAATTTGTCAATGAAGAATTGTCTCTCTTTACATAATCCCCAGGCGGGTTTCCAAGCCACGACTTTCCGTAAAAATGGTAATTGCATTTGTCGAAGATGTAACGTGTAACATTGCCACTCGAAACATAAAGTTTGTTTTAAAACGTCGTCTAGGTTTTATATTTTCGTGTTAACACGAAAATAGAACATACTTACTTGATTAGCAAATCAGAAAACTAGTAGCTAATGAGTATGTATGTATGTTATGTATACGTATGTGTACAAACGCCATGCCATCGTTCTCGTACTCGTATACGATCTATTGAGCTTTGTTGCGCTTTCAGTTGTTGATTGGAAGATCCTGCTTCCAAACTATCGTTATTTAATCAACAGTACCAGTTAACAGTTGTAGGCTAAGTACCAAGTAAATGACAACTTTTCATTATTTATTATAGTACTGATCGTTCCCAATATGAGGTAAATTTACGGAATTAAAGCCAACGTTACTGTATAACCTCGGTTGTTTTTGTGATTTGGATCATACTAGTGTTGTTCGATAAATACTTTCTTCCTGACAAAAAGTGCTTGTTAAAAACAATATTTTAAAATGAGCATAAGGCTTTTAAAAGACCCTGCTACCGTGAGTAGCCGGATCTTTGTGGGTCATCTGCAAACAGATGATATGACCAAACATGAGCTAGAAGAACATTTTTCTAAGTATGGAACTGTCATCGGTTCTTTAATACATAGAGGTTTTGGCTTTGTTCAATTTGAAGAAGAACAATCTGCTCAGAAAGCTATTCAGAATGAGGATGGAGCAATGTTCAAGGGCAGACGAATAGGTATTTGATTTTCATCGAAAAATCTTTATCTTCACTGAATTTACTTGTTTGTCTTATCACATGTACCTTTTAGATGTCAGGCCAGCAAAAAAAGACAATCAGTCTGGTGGAGGCAGTGGAGGCCCGAAACAAATGGCAGCAGTACCTGATAATCAATTTAATTCTGGCAGTAATCATTTTAATGCTTCGAACGATTCCTTCAACAGTGGAAATCCAAATTTTGGTGGAAATCCAAATTTTAATGCAAATCAAAACTTTAGCTGTGACCCACAATTGAATGATAATCAGAAACCAAACATTCAGAATCGAGGTGGCGGAAGTGATCAGTTTTCTGATGGAAACCAGAATAGAGACAGTGGAAATGATCAATTTGGGAATCAAAATCGAAATAATGTAAACGATCAGTTTAATAACATAATGCAAAATAAAGGGAACAATAATTTCATGCCGAATAATCAGAATAGGGGCGGAGGTGAACAGTTTAATCAAAACAGAGGAGGTAATCAATTTGGGCCAGGTGGAAATCAGAATAGACCTGGTAACAATCAAAATCGTAATGCGAATAATCAGAATCAAGGAAGTGGTGGTAATAGTGGCACTGGTGGCGGAAGACAAAGAGGAACTCGAGGTGGAAAAAATCGAAATAAAAATAGGGACAACTCGGGCGGAAATAATAACTTTAGAGATCGCAGCCCTATCAATAGAAACCCTGGCCGTTTAGACGAGAAAAGTGGTAGAGATTGGGATCACAAACAAGGAGACAGATTGAGAGGCAATAACTTTGCCAGAGAGTCGTTCAACGATACTAGTAATCGCTACGAAGATTTCAAGAGCCCTGCCCCTAGAGACATGAATATGAGCTTCAAGTAAGTTGAACAAGAGAGTTTCGTAATTTTACAGTGAGTATCGTCAATATTAATTATTTCATATGTATTGGACAGCAATACAACCTCATCAGGCGAGTACACGAATACGACCACCGAGAAGAATGATTGTGAAATTATTGTTGTTAATAAATCCTTAACGTGAGTATATAAAGAACATTGCCGATGATGATTAAGCAATCTTTCAACTTGTACGTTTAAGCAGGGAATATGCTGAGAGCATTGAAATGAGGTTGAAGAAGATTGGACTGACGGTAGATTTATTGTTCCCCAACGAGGATGTTCTCCTTAGTAGAGTTCTAGGAAATATTGCAAGCCGTGGTTGCTTGTATGCAGTTGTGGTCACACCTGTTAATCAAGAACATCATTCCCTAACTTTGAATATTCTTCACGGTTTACCTCAAGGTAAGTACTTTTGATACTGTTTAAATCAAAAGTTCATAATCAATATTGTTTGATTTCTACAGAACATAGGAATATGCCGGTTGACGATGCCATTAATTTAATGTCGCGCGACTTTACCACATACAAAGCTGGTGCACGATCAGTTCCATTGAACACACCTTTCGCCAATGAACGGCATCCCGACGCTATTCAAGTCCTTTTGAACATGTTGGCTGATAATCATCAGTTGACAGTACTGCAGTACGACCGTGTTATAAAATATCTCGAAATAAAACGCGAAGAGCAAGTGCAAGTTGAACTGGGAGACGCGAAAGATTTGCCGACGACCACGCCGACGATCACAGTCAGCGATCCGAAGCAAGCAGAGTTGCAATCTAGGATACTTAATATATTAAACAGTAATAAAACGAATTCATCAGTACCTGTACCTAGTCCAGTACCAGCGCCGACTGCAGCACCGACACCTGTCCCGCCAGCTACTTGGGGAGCAGGTAAATTTTATACAGCTTTTCATTTAAGCTTAAACACAATTTTACGTCACATCAAGTATACAAGAATTTTATATCGGACCTCTGTTATTATTAAAATGAATATAAAATTATTTCTCACATTCAGTTTCAGTAATCTTTTTATACCATTATGTTATAAATCATGAACGTATACCGCCCTGTTCACTGCTTATTTAAAACAAAAACTAGAAATACTGCTATAGATTTATGTACCAAAAGAACAACGTCGCGATTTAGTAGACCTGTTGCATGCTTTTGCACTTTTATAAAGGTCATTTTATAAGTGTATCCTACTTATTGTAGGATCACGTATTTCCTTGCATTTACTTTTGGATTTGTTCATGCAAGATGCACGAACATATTCAAATTTCGCGTCGCGCGTAATAATTTAATATTGAAATATAAGCGCTTATTTTGTCTAAACATTTTTTTTTAGACAATTTCAAGTAAATTTTTAATATAAAGATACTGATTTCGAGTGATCAGACAAGACATATACGAATTTCGTACGCTTTGGGTCCGGTCGACCTGCATATTCGTGTGTGTGGTGTGTGTTACCGTGCTGCTTGTCATATAGCACAGTGATCAAAGCGAACGAACTTCGAATAAATATATCATTGCTGGTACTACAAACTGCTATAACTTTACGAGTACATCATATTATGCCAGCAGCATCCACTGTCACAACATCGACAACAACCACTGCTACGGGAGTTGCACCGTCGCCTCTGCTAAATGATCCGACGGTTCAAAAGGCACTTGACAGCCTATTACAAGGCAATTTGCTGAAAAGCATCAGCGATCAGCAACCGGCTACAACCACGACACCTCTGTTCGCTGCTTTTTCGAATATCGGCCGATTTTAGATCATCCCGATTTTATTTATTACACTATTGAACAAACTGAGACTTTGATCTTTTTCTTTTCACGCCGACATCCTCGCGTGACGAACAATTTCACTTACTTTATAAAATAAAAATCGTCTGATGAATTTAATACTTGCTTCTGATAATGTTAGCAGATTTATATGTATATTTGACAGATTCTTTTTTAAAATGTACAATTAATATAATTTGTAAATTGGACGAATAGTTCCATATTTAATTTACGAGGACAGGTACGTTAGTCTGTTTTCATGTTCGATTCTTTCACTCGGGAAATGAATATTTCGCTTAATACAATTTTATGTATTATACAGAATCAACATATTAAATGATAATGTAATTTTCAATTTTAGTTAATATCTTTTACATTTTTCTTTCTATGAATAATAGAAATCATGATTAAAGAACAAGATATAAATGTATGCTATACATTAATATTATACATTGATCAGTAAATAGTTTGCTGTAATAGAACATTTCGATATGTAACGCATTGTCTCAGTAATCAATAATTTTAATAAATGAGTTTGTTAGCAGTTCACACTCCTGATTTATCGGCATTTATCGTTCTGATTTTAACGCATCACTTGTGCTGCTGTTGGTTTTATCAGCTTCACAAAATGATTACAATGTCCCAAACTGAGATTAGTAAAAGAGTATTTAAATAAATTTACGAGACATGTGGACGAAAAATGATCTATATTTACGAGTATATAGTATTTAACTTTTTACGATAAATAAAATACGTATTGAGGTGGAAAATCATTATCACTTTTACTCATTATTCAATCTCATTATTTGTATTGTGTTTTGCAATATACAAATACACTGCGTAAAAAATTCTATGCACATTTTATTTTAGCGATTATCGAAATATTATGTACAACATCAATAAATTGTTTTTAGGAATATTTCATGTCTTTTATTAATAACTTGGTATGTACAATGTCGATGCTTCTCTTATGGATCTAGAAAGAAAATAATAGTACATTCATGAAATTGTACGTGTCTACTTTATTAACATTTCACATACCATTGCAGCCAAACGATTAGTTGCGTGAAGCAGATTTTAAGCTGTGTATTTAGACTAATAGCAGTAATTAAAATCAGTGTACAAAATGCAAAGCATTTAATTAAAAGTGTTATAGAGGAATAAATAAAGTATTGAACGATGGCAAATATTCGCAGGTAAGCAAAAGCTATAAATTAAAAAATTAGTATAAGCAGATTCACTGTAAATTTATCTGAATTTACCTAAGTAATAAGTCTTTAGGTATTGCTCTGCATGTACGATTTCCTCACACGGCGGAGACACCACTTTATATAATATATTCAGGACAGATTTTACTGCGTCGATGTCATACATATTCTTCTCCAGTCGTTGCTTGTAGGGTTTCAATTTCTCCACAAGTTCCTTGTTCTTGTTAATAGAGCCAACGTGTTTCTCTAAAATCTCAGTGTACGTCGGCCAATTGTCTTTACACGCACTGCAGTCGCATTCGAAAAAATAGTCTTGCATTATCTTTTTTATTCTTTCAGATTTTGCCATGTGCGCGTACGCAGGACCATAATTCGTAAACAATTGATCTCCAGGATGTATCGGCTGCAGAGCACGAGTGATCATTGTTAAACCTTCAAAGTGGCGGAACGTGTTCGGTGCACAAGAATGATTGTACAAGCTATGAGTTACGTATAAACCTGAACCCTCCAGACATCTGTACTCCTGTTGTATCTAAAAATATAATGAGAAACTTAATTCTTAATACATATCTATTGTAATTTATATTGTATCTGTTTAATTCATTAAATAAATTACTGAAAAACAATTGGAAGACGTTATGACACAAGCGCGAAACATAAGAGTGCCACAGAATTTGATATCAGAATATTCGCTAATGTCTTTTAACTCGTCCGCTTCGTATTTTTTGCAGAAGAAATTAGTTTGCGTGGCTAGAAGGATAACTGCGAGGGCTGAAAGACAGGCGAATGCACTAATCCCAATCAACGGCCTCGTCGTCATGTTCGTAGCAAGACTGAGGGCGGATCGTGCGCTGCTACTATCCAATATGCCTTCATCGGTAAATCCTGCGGTTCTATTGTCTGCAAATAAGATTTCTTGAAGTCTATAAACGACAGAGCGTTCTAATTACAATGTTATATCATTCAGCTCAACTTAATTTCATATTTTCATTCTAGCGATAGAGCATGAACATTTTTACCGGGATTACGCTCAGCTATTTCCATGTCTGCGCGCAGTTCATCCATTTTTTTGCCTTTTCCTGTAACCATGATCAAGAACCGAATTATTTTGGTAAGCATGCGTATTTTATCTTTATCGACGTTAAGTAGATTTCCAATTATCGCCATAATTGGACATTCTATTTGATGAGCCATCTCCCAAGCTAATTCCCTACATTTTTCCGAGCAATATTGCGCCACAGGGCAGTGTAGGCAAGGAATTAAATTATAACTTCTCGATAGGCAGTGATGACAATGTGTATAATATCTGTAATTCACGATAATTATTCTTTATATTCATAGTTGCATTGATACTAAATTGTCTACCTTTGTGTGTAAAGAATATATTCATATGGGTCTTCAACAGTTACTACATCTCCAGGCTTAAACTCTTTTGTAGCTCTTAAATGACGTCCGTACTTTTCAGAAAAGACAATGGCAACACCATTGCTAGCAGCAGGAGCCTCTTTACTGGGGCCATAAGCTAATTTCAAAGGACCTTCATCCGCCAAGTATCTTGGTTTCTTTTCTTCAGCTTTAGGTATCTCCTCCTCTTTTTTACAACCGTTAATTGAATCCTCATTAACGCCAATACTTTTGTTTTCCATTTCTGAAAGCTTCACACTCCCTTTCTTATATTTAACAGCAACAGGAGCATTGTTTGTATCATCCGATAAGCACAACTTCATAAACGATTCCGCATCGACGCGCTCGTTCACTTTAAGCTCGAACTTTTTTTTTATTTCGTCAATCGCTTTAGCACCTCTCTCTTTTAACTTTTCTCTTTTTTCTTCCGGGTATCCAAGATTTAAAGCGGCGTCAATGTCTATTAAACATTCCCTGAACATCTGTTTTCTATATAAGGCAGCAGATCGATTTGCATGAGCATAAGACATAAGTTCCTTATTGTTTGCATACGCTAAACTCATTGTATAAGATTTTATAGCTTCGTCGTCATCACCCATAACAAAGTGTTGATCTCCTAGAATATTTTAATTGCGATAATTCAGGGGAAAGCATTACAGAACCGTGTGTGTTACCTTCTTCTCTATATTGAATCGAATCCTCTTCATTTTTTTCCTCTGGGATTAATTCCGGTAGATGGGAAAGCACCATGTTTTGTAAAATGTGATTAATGAGAAGTTCGCACTCCTTTTGCAAGCCATATCCTGAATGTGATGGCTTGCCTTGTTTTAAATTCAATACTAACTCTTTTGCTATTTCCATTTCACGTGCAAATATTTTATACTCAAATGTTTTATCAAATCAAATAAATGTATAATTTATTTTAGAAAACAAAATTAATGTATTTTATTATCTTCTTAGATAAACACATTATTCACGTCCATATATTGTATGGTTTAATTAATAAGAAAAAGAGACGAACGTGATTCTTCTGGCACTACTTGCACAGTAGATAGCAAGGTGCTGAATGGGCTGCAGTTAACTATGTACTGGCTGAAGTAAAACTGAGAGGTGAAACTAAAATTACCTCAAGCAAGTTGATAGAAGGGAAGCAGAAACTGTATAGCTGCATAACTAGCTGCTAAATCATTTATCATGTTAAACAAAACACAGATTTATTTAGATAATAAAAACTTAAAAAATTGCATACTTCAACTCTTCTATGAAATATTTTAAATTTCTCCTATTTCTATTTACAGAAAAAATAAAGTTGATATAATTTCAAGCAAATGAAGTCTTAGAAATATGTTCTATGGTTGTCTAATACAGATTTCAAAATTCTGTTCACACTCTGTTATTAAATTTTTGAATTTTTCATAAAACTACGTATATAATTAGTATATAAAATTATATTGATAGCCAAAATATAATGAAATTGTACAAAATTTATAGTTGTGATGAATATAGGTCTTGGAATTCTTTTTTTCAGTCATTGCATGAGCGTTTTATAATGAGAACAATTTGGCAGGAGTCCAGGTTTAAAAGTTCAGTTGCTGAAATGTTCAAGTTAAATCTTTAATTAGATATATGTATGTATTATATGACAGCTATTTTTTATACAAATATTTGTGGAAATTCAATATGCAATCGTCAGAGCGTTCTAATTACAATGTTATATCATTCAGCTCAACTTAATTTCATATTTTCATTCTAGCGATAGAGCATGAACATTTTTACCGGGATTACGCTCAGCTATTTCCATGTCTGCGCGCAGTTCATCCATTTTTTTGCCTTTTCCTGTAACCATGATCAAGAACCGAATTATTTTGGTAAGCATGCGTATTTTATCTTTATCGACGTTAAGTAGATTTCCAATTATCGCCATAATTGGACATTCTATTTGATGAGCCATCTCCCAAGCTAATTCCCTACATTTTTCCGAGCAATATTGCGCCACAGGGCAGTGTAGGCAAGGAATTAAATTATAACTTCTCGATAGGCAGTGATGACAATGTGTATAATATCTGTAATTCACGATAATTATTTTTTATATTCATAGTTGCATTGATACTAAATTGTCTACCTTTGTGTGTAAAGAATATATTCATATGGGTCTTCAACAGTTACTACATCTCCAGGCTTAAACTCTTTTGTAGCTCTTAAATGACGTCCGTACTTTTCAGAAAAGACAATGGCAACACCATTGCTAGCAGCAGGAGCCTCTTTACTGGGGCCATAAGCTAATTTCAAAGGACCTTCATCCGCCAAGTATCTTGGTTTCTTTTCTTCAGCTTTAGGTATCTCCTCCTCTTTTTTACAACCGTTAATTGAATCCTCATTAACGCCAATACTTTTGTTTTCCATTTCTGAAAGCTTCACACTCCCTTTCTTATATTTAACAGCAACAGGAGCATTGTTTGTATCATCCGATAAGCACAACTTCATAAACGATTCCGCATCGACGCGCTCGTTCACTTTAAGCTCGAACTTTTTTTTTATTTCGTCAATCGCTTTAGCACCTCTCTCTTTTAACTTTTCTCTTTTTTCTTCCGGGTATCCAAGATTTAAAGCGGCGTCAATGTCTATTAAACATTCCCTGAACATCTGTTTTCTATATAAGGCAGCAGATCGATTTGCATGAGCATAAGACATAAGTTCCTTATTGTTTGCATACGCTAAACTCATTGTATAAGATTTTATAGCTTCGTCGTCATCACCCATAACAAAGTGTTGATCTCCTAGAATATTTTAATTGCGATAATTCAGGGGAAAGCATTACAGAACCGTGTGTGTTACCTTCTTCTCTATATTGAATCGAATCCTCTTCATTTTTTTCCTCTGGGATTAATTCCGGTAGATGGGAAAGCACCATGTTTTGTAAAATGTGATTAATGAGAAGTTCGCACTCCTTTTGCAAGCCATATCCTGAATGTGATGGCTTGCCTTGTTTTAAATTCAATACTAACTCTTTTGCTATTTCCATTTCACGTGCAAATATTTTATACTCAAATGTTTTATCAAATCAAATAAATGTATAATTTATTTTAGAAAACAAAATTAATGTATTTTATTATCTTCTTAGATAAACACATTATTCACGTCCATATATTGTATGGTTTAATTAATAAGAAAAAGAGACGAACGTGATTCTTCTGGCACTACTTGCACAGTAGATAGCAAGGTGCTGAATGGGCTGCAGTTAACTATGTACTGGCTGAAGTAAAACTGAGAGGTGAAACTAAAATTACCTCAAGCAAGTTGATAGAAGGGAAGCAGAAACTGTATAGCTGCATAACTAGCTGCTAAATCATTTATCATGTTAAACAAAACACAGATTTATTTAGATAATAAAAACTTAAAAAATTGCATACTTCAACTCTTCTATGAAATATTTTAAATTTCTCCTATTTCTATTTACAGAAAAAATAAAGTTGATATAATTTCAAGCAAATGAAGTCTTAGAAATATGTTCTATGGTTGTCTAATACAGATTTCAAAATTCTGTTCACACTCTGTTATTAAATTTTTGAATTTTTCATAAAACTACGTATATAATTAGTATATAAAATTATATTGATAGCCAAAATATAATGAAATTGTACAAAATTTATAGTTGTGATGAATATAGGTCTTGGAATTCTTTTTTTCAGTCATTGCATGAGCGTTTTATAATGAGAACAATTTGGCAGGAGTCCAGGTTTAAAAGTTCAGTTGCTGAAATGTTCAAGTTAAATCTTTAATTAGATATATGTATGTATTATATGACAGCTATTTTTTATACAAATATTTGTGGAAATTCAATATGCAACCATTATAAAAATTACAGTACGTATTTCGTATGATAATTTTTGTATCGTAAATTATTTTGTCTATTTTATAATGATTGTCTATAAGAATAAAGTGAATGTTATAGAAAGGTAAGAAATAATATTAAGTTCTGTTAAAAAATGTATGTGATTTATTAATAGCTTATCATACAATAACAGTTAATTAACATGTGCATACGATTACGATGTCCATGTTATGTGACATGAGCAAAATGTAAATTTATAATGTGAGACATACCATGTTTAGAAGATATGAGGCAATAATGGTATGAAATTCTTAATTGGTGGTAGAGAAATAGTTGACTAGATTAATCTTCCTCTGCTTCCAAATTTATACGACTACCAAACTTTGCATATAGCTGTATTTTTAGATCGCTGATAGCAGTCTTCATGTCTGCACATTTACTTTCTAAATCTGAGATCTCCTTTTTCTTCTCTTCTTTAATTTCTTCTAAATAACTCTATAAATATAAGTGAAAATGTAATATATTATATAAAAATTAATCTTTTACTAGCCTTCGCTTTGAAATGTAATAAAGTTTATCATTGAATTATTAGCATTTAATTCAACATTTTACCTGAACTTTTTCCGAATCTTCATGCACAAAAACTTCACCAATGTGATATGGAATTTTTGCGTCATCCTCCAAAAGAACTATCTCATCACACGCATCTTCCAAATTTTTTAATTCATTCTGTAGAAAGTATTACAATGTGTATAAAACTGTATGCCCAAATAAGGTATCCGAGATTACAAATTCATTGATCGCGAGTACCTGCTTAATTTTCAATTCTTCTTTCAAGTCCTCCATCCGTACATTTTGCCGTGCGAATTTATTAATTTTTTGCTGATCCTCGTACGTAATATAAACATCTGAATCCTATCATACAACGTAGGTTAGATTTAAATTCTATATGGAATGCAAGCAAAGAAATAATTGTAGTACACGTTTACCGGTTGGAATCCAGGTTGATTTTTTCTCGCTGACATGTTCACGTTTTATTTATACTCTGCAAATTGTTTGGTACACCGTTTAACACTGATCTAGGTAGCAATATATTGATAAAATGATATCAAACACTTTCCGATACACTTGATACTATTTCCTAAACTTAACCAACGTCAACTTGCTTTCAAAGACATTCATTCATGCGCTGCGCGTGTGTTGAACCAGAGAGCCAGAGAATGAGAACTCCTACTCCTATCATACAAATGAGAGCTTCGTTTTTTCTATTCTTCTCAGCTGGAAAATTGGATCTTTTTATGTAAATTGAAGTGCTGGTCGTTCAATTAAAGTACACATGTTCTTAATAAGAAAAAAAATACTAAAAATAATTTTATTATGCTACGATAATATAAAAAATGTCAAGGTCCCACCGAGATTTGAACTCGGATCGCTGGATTCAGAGTCCAGAGTGCTGACCATTACACCATGAGACCTTGTAGGACAATGTTTAATACAAGCATTTGAGTCAAATTTAATAAACAACGAAAAAGATCCAACTTCCCTTACTTCCAGCTTACTTAAATATAATCATAAAACATGAAGAACTTAATACAAAATATTTATTAGTCCATTACTTATATAGTACAAATAGTTTTTATAAGTATAAACATTAACGTCATGCACATCAGTCATTTATTTCTGCATCGTGATCAGTTGCTTTTTCTGTTACGGTATCCTCTTCATTTAAACTTTCTTCGGCTTCTACATTCATTGCATCACATTCTGTTTCTTTCTCTGGCTCAGACGAAGCAGTTACTGCCTTCTTATCATCGTTTGTAGCTTGTTTCGAATTACATATTTCTATTAAATTGTATTTCCGGAATTTATAATAATCAGGCGCAACGCACATCAGACAAGTACCGCGTATCACTTCAACTATCACAGCCAATTCCGGATTTTTTAAATCTGCTTTATTTCCAGGATTTTTTTTAGTTATTATATCAGCCAGATCTTCGATCACGTCGCCCCTGCGTATAGTTTTATTGCTATGACGACTGTAATTAAATTAAATTAAAGTTAAATTTATGCTGAAATATCGGTAAATTTACAAATAACTTGAACGTACTTAAATACAATACTAAATGTCTTTGGTTCTTGTGCAAAATATTTTTCAAGCAGTGCATCTGCTTTCAGTTTGATGTCATTCATGTTCGCCTTACAAACAATTTCAATTGGCAGTAATCTTAATAAGAACCTTGTACGCTGTTGTTTTGTTTTATGCATTTCAGTGACAATTTTGCTAACTAATTCCACAGGATTCTCCAAAGTAGTTCTTATGAAAACCACGTTTTTCACACCAGTATGAACTACCTAATATAGATGTCATAAACATTGAGGATTTCCAGAGGCACATTATGCAAAATTATAAAATATATACCTGAAATCTTCTAGCATTTACTGGTTTTAAATGTTCTGCTTTTAATTTATTAATTTCTTTATTTAGAGCAGTAGAAATGTCATCTTCACCATCACTCTGTTCTGCTTTATTAATATCATCATCTTTTTCTCCTGGTGATAGTTTGGCATTATCTCTGTCAGATACCTTGAACGAGAAACAATTTGATTTCTTTATTGTTCTGTATGTGCTTATATCATTGCTGAATTCCACTGTATACCTTCATGATATCTGATCCATAAATCTCATCAGAAAATTCATTAAGTATTTTGTATGCATCTCGTATGCATTCTTTCTCAGAAAAATTGCAAGTGCATAAGAACCCTTTCATACCTGGTTCTAAAATAAATGGTTTTTGTTTTTTATTTCCAAAATTATGGAAGTAATTCTTTTTGCGCTTTTCTACGCTCATTCTCGTAACAGTTTATTTATCAAGAATATTTGCCAAGTATTTACGACCACGTGAAGTGACTGCACGGAAAGTGTATGGATGCCGCCATGTTCTGGAGAAACAGCAGTTCATCTTAAAAGGCGGGATCGTTCAAATTTAGAATTGATACCAAACAAGCTACCGGACCCGGTTCGAGCTCATATTGAAGATGTTATTTAATATTCTAATTGAATAAATACAACATACGGTATCATTATATGTATAGTATGATGTAGTACGTAGGTCATCGCACCGCAGAAAAGTAGTAGAAACTTGAAGACAATATTAATTTTAACTCAAATGATTTATTTCCTTAAAAAAAATAAATAGTCAAATAAAGAGTAACGAATAGTTAAATTACAAGACACGATCGCACGTTGCCAGTTGTAATCCCATTAACTCTGGCTTCGAGTGCATATTCCTTTACTAGTCAGCTTTACACGCTATTAAACTGTACGTGTCCTCTAATGCATATGTTATTAAGTTGAAATCTACGTTCATACAAGTGTTATAGTACAAAATGGATATTAATGAACAGGCAGATGATCACAATCCATACGCTAACTTTCCGTCTGGGAGTAATTTGAATTCTCTTCGATACTTATAGCGCAGGGAACATATTCTTGGCCTGATTCCTGTGAAAGGAACAACTCATATATCGTGGTACGTTTGTGAGATTTTCGTATAGCATCGTATGGAACGTACCGAGTTAACAATAATTTGTCGTCCTTCCTCTAAATTGAGCCCATCCATATCTTCTGCCGTCAATATTATCACAGAATCTTCAGGTATGTTCTCATCGATGTAAGTTATGGGTATTTCGGACGATACCTAATTGAAACCCATTAACAATATGAAATAAAATTTCATTTACGACGTGGAACAAGTTCTTATACCTCGCAGTAGGCGAAATCAGATTCCTCGTGTCCGTGAATCTTCGCTTCCGCGTTGTTTTTCGAATCCGCTGTTCTCTGTTTCCTTGAGTTCAAAGATCGTTCCGACTTTTTACCATCCTGCTGAAGACGTCTCCATATCGTCGTCTTTGGGATGTGGTAAGTCATCGACGCCATTGCCTGCGACATTTTTCCACCTTTGCAAGCAGCGACCGCTTCCTCTAAACGAGACTTCTTCAATTCTTCGTTCTCCGTTTTACGCTTCTTCCAATACGATAAAGGTAGCTTTCCCTCGTCCACTAATCGAGCTTTGTCTCGAAACAAAGTAGTTTTCGGAATCTAAATAAACGTAATTATATTGCTTACTGCGGACATGTTGGAACTGATCATACAAAAATCAAACAATAAGTTACTTTAAACTCAAGCGCAACTTTCGTAAGATTTTCTCCCCTTTCCAAAGCCTTGACCGCGGCTTCCCGTTTGTCCGAACCGTAAGATCTTTTCATTTCAGAACGTAATATCTGATATCCTTCTTTCTGTATCCTCCGCCATAATACGGTCTTCGGTATACTGAACATTTCCGATGCGTGCTGCAAACTCGAACCGCCTGTAGCAAAAACAGATCGAATCGAACGAAATCATGGAACGAACTCCCTTTTATATATTTATTTACAAAAAAAACCGAAACAACACCGACCGATCACCGCGTTTATAGCAGCTTTCATGCACTCTGCGGGATATTCGTTCCTCGAAGCATTTAGATGTATACCCAATGCTTTTGCACGCATGTACAAAGTCGAACGCGGTATATTGTGTTTAGTCGAAGCTTCTATCAACGTTTGACCCAATTTCAAATCGTTAATCGCCGACGCTAGCATATCATCATTGTATTCTCTTTTGCTTGTATCGCGTCTGCGTTTCTTTTTCTTATTCAAAGTACAATTTTCAGTTGTCTCTTCTTCTGCCTTTTGCTGATCCTCCAAGTCCTCATAATCTTGTTGCAGTGCATCGATAACATTCTCTTCTCCTTCACTAATTACAGTCATTGGCTCTTCCGTGCTCTCATTAAAATCTTTACTGTTTTCAAAAGATCCAAAATCGTCAAGCCCATCGATCTGCAAATAAGTACGTATAAGCCAACGATGTTCAAAGAAAAACCAAGATATTTCTAGTCATTTTATGAATTACAATTGGTACATTATGTACCTCTATAAGACCACAGATTTTTAATGAGCGTGCTGCTTCCAACAGGCTACTGATATTATCAACTGGAACCCGTACTTCTCCATGATAAGTAAATTCTATGATGGACTTTATGTCCTGAGCAGATATATCGCTTAATATTATTGTTGGATGATCCTCGTTCACTTGACTCAGTATATCCTAGAAATGAAAAGATCGTTCGAGTCTACGGGGCACGAGCAATTCTTACAAAAAGGGTTGTATTGTTTAAGTCAAGTACTCGAAATAAGGTGCTGCAAGCGCATAAAACTATCCGATGGGCATGAATACGTTCCCCAGCTGCAGCCAGGGTAACGTCCACCATGCAGTCCTCCTCCAACAATTGTCTGACCACGTCGGACAAATGACTCTGATAATCGTTCCATTTGAACCAGTAACTATGATTAATCTCATGTTGGTTGACAATATCTGACATGCCGTTTCAGTTTCGTTTCCTTTTTCACTTTTGATACAACACTTATCGTGTTTACATACAACCTATGTAGAACCGGAATTTGGAACAGGACTGACGTTTCTTGCTCGATTCGTTGCTTCTTTACGATCGCGATCCTGCTACGCATGGATATAACGTCAATAATTCTATTACTTGCATCACTTTTCGTACATTGAAACAAAGATTCTTTTATCAGAATTTCCTCAAACTCCGTATTCCTGAGCTATACTCAGCTGTACTCCACGCCCTAAAGCATTAAATCCTGTACACAACCACCTAAAACTGCATGGAAATGCCCATGTAAAGCTTGTACTTTCTTGTAGATACCTACTACTACTATAGGCAGTGCAATAATGTCAGTTCTCTTCGGTTCTCTTTTGTATCGGTGATAATTCGTGATTCTTTTAAACAGGCTCTTCGTTTTGTAATTAATTCACCAGTTCATCAAACTGTTGTAAAGGAAAATGGTCAGTCGCTTTACGTATATCACAGATTTTACGTATCGTTTGTTATTTACATGAAAACTTGTTTCTCGTGGTATATTTGAACATGTGACAGTATAACCTAGATCACGTTCCCGTATTTTACTTTAATAAAAGTAAATTAGTTTCCTAAACTTGTAAATCTTTTTTTTAAGCGATAGGCGCACAGACCTCTTTTTCCGCTAGCTTGAACTTTAATGAATACGTTTACATTCTCATTTTGTAACTATGTTCGTTATTCCACTCATTCAACGTAGCATTCATACATAGCATTAATTAATGTAAAAACGTTCTTTACGGAAAAGCAAACTGAGTCTTGATAAGTAATGAAAATTCATTGTTTTATCGCAGAAACCTTTGATGTTACACGGGCACGAGCGTGCCATAACGCAAATAAAATACAACAGAGAGGGTGACTTACTGTTTTCCTCTAGTAAAGACAAGAGACCGAACGTTTGGTATTCCTTAAATGGAGAACGTCTCGGAAGTTTTAATGGGCACAATGGTTCAGTGTGGTGCATAGACGTCAATTGGGACACAACGAGATTTTTGTCGGGAAGTGGTGACAATTCTTTGAGGGTTTGGGATTGTCAAACAGGTTCATGTCTTTACAAGATATATCAGTATTTCGATCTTGTTCCATAACTCATCCCATATTTACCATTTCATAGGAAAAGAAATAGGTTTACTCCATACAAACAGTTCTGTAAGAACATGTGGCTTCAGTTATTCCACAAATCTGGCAGTTTATTCTACGGACAAGGCATTAGGACACCAGTGTGAAATGTTTATTATGGACATTAGAAATGTGGATGCAGTATTATCACAAGAAGATGCGATTTCTAGAATCGCCGTTAATGGTCCTAGGATCTCGGCAATCTTGTGGGGCGCTTTGGATGAAACGATAATTACTGGCCACGAGGATGGTGAAATTACCATTTGGGATGTCAGGGTATGCGACGATGTTTACGATGCGAAACACCAAGAGTTTTTGATATAATGATTTCATTTTGCAGACTGCGAAAAAATTGCAGAGCGTTAAATGTCACAAATCACAGATAAACGACATGCAATTCAACAAGGATGGCACCATGTTTGTTACAGCATCGAAAGATAACACTGCCAAATTATTCGACAGTGAGTCCTTAATGTTGTTGAAAACATATAAAACAGAGAGGCCTGTGAATTCCGCTACGATTTCTCCTATCTTCGATCATGTACGTGCTCACGACTATACAACAAACTGAAATTGCAAACGAACAAAGATGTGAATGGTGGATTTGTTTCGTAGGTGGTTCTCGGAGGAGGTCAAGATGCCATGGATGTCACAACAACGTCTACTAGACAAGGCAAATTCGACTCGCGATTTTTCCACATGGTATTCGAAGAAGAATTTGCACGTTTAAAAGGGCATTTCGGTCCAATCAACTCTCTTGCATTTCATCCTAACGGTCGCAGCTTGTCGACGGGCGGTGAAGACGGTTACATTCGTATCAATACGTTTGATCAATCTTATTTCGACTTCCACTTTGAATACTAACTTTAGGAGAAAGGAAACCATCGTGTATCAATCGATAATAAAAGATATAAATTTTTTTCGGTATTATTTATTTAAATTTATTCGTATTAAAAAAAATAATAGTACATATAACTGTATTTATGTAATTATCAGAACAATGGTAGAGGTAGTATGTAGCAATGGAACAAGTATATAATATCAATAGCGCAATTTATATTCACAATGTGTGAAAGGAAGATAGTAGAATATGTTGAACAATATCACTTTCAAACTGCATTTTAAGTCTATACTTCGTATTTGAAATTCGATCTTACCAAGTATCGCGCTTTCACTTGAGCAACATCGTACACGATGTATTCATTGTACAACAGAGCAGATTTTTTGGGCAGTTTAGCAGGAACAGGCAAACCGTATGGAACTTCAACACCGTCTTTAGTCTTGTGAACGTCGTTAGGATCTGGTTGTGTTTGACCACGACCCCAAGTCGAATGTTTTCCGCTTGGCAATTTCTCGATGTAATCCGATTGGTATCTTTCATACATATTGCCCAGTGCTACCTCACAAAGCAGTAGTAAACCCGTAGGATTTCCGCTGTGCGTGCAACAATAGTTTGCAGACTTAGAAACCATGTCTGCAAAGTAAATACCCTTGCCGAACATGTAACCGGTAACGGGTGCTTCCGGTGGAGCGATTCTCAAGCCTTGAGAGAGTATACCAGCGAAGTTGGTAGTGCGAGAACCGTGCCACAGCAATTTCTTATTCGGTAACTTCTTGAACGGTTTGTATCTGCTCTCTTCTCCCTGTCTCTTGACGACGAACACGTCCTCGATCTCGAGCTTGTATTGAGTATGAGTCGACGCGTGCGTGTTCTGCAGGTATCGTTCGATGATCTTGTATTCCTCGCTTTCCTTATCCAGCACATCAATTTCGGCGTTCAGTTGTTTGTAATGGGCATCGAGCGGATTGACTGTCTTGTCAGTCTTGCTGTGCAAAAGAGAATAGGCGATTTCCATTTCGAGTAACGCGTCCAGCATTTCGCACTTGGCATGGATTTCTTCTACAGTTTCCAAAACTTTCGGTTCATCTACACCAAAATTATGAGGTATCAAGTTATAAAATCTATTGGACGCGTCGAGCAATAGAACACGATCGGGGTCTTTCTTCTTCAACGTTTCTTGCAGTTCCGTTAATACTGTGTAAGCTTTTTGAATCTGTTTCTTAGACAATTTTCCAAGCGGCATCTTGTCCGTATCGATCTCAAACTCTGCCATCACCTTCTTCATGGACGCTTCGTCGAAGATCAATTTCATCAGATCTTGAATCGGTTTTTCCAGCTCGCTCTTGATATCGGACTCTAATAAGTTATCTGGCACATCTTCTCCATAATCGACATCGACCGGATACATCTTGTGTGGTACCTTGAAGAAGTTTTCCCTGTGTTTCCACATGTTCCCGCTCTTCTCTTCGTACAAACTTTCAAACTGTTCTATGGCATCGTCCAAAGGCAATTCATCCAATTTCGTTCCACCAATAGTGGTTCCTATCCTGCCCCAACTTCTGAACAGCCAAAACTTATTTTTCTTGTCATGCTTTAAAATCTGTAGTTTGTAGTAGCTGTTCTTTTTACTTTGTATGTCGGTATTTACCAACGTCACGGTATATTTGTCGTTGCCTTTCTGATAAACATGCGCGCAATCCTGTAAACCGCTGTCCGGATCCACGGCTCCGCCTTCTTTCAATTGCAATTTCACCTTGCCGGATCCCGATTTTTCGAAAACACTTTTGCCCCTGCTCTTCGCAGCAGATTTCTCCGCTACCACGTTGATCCTGCTTGATAAATCGCCGCCCCAGCTCGAAATTGTTTTCTTCTTTATAAGCGATATGGCAGGCTTCGTATATTCTTTAGCTTCGTCGATAAAGTCTCGCGTAATCACTTGAATATCGAGCTTCTCAGCTTCCTCCATCCTTTTATTCATTTTATCGATTTCATTCTGTGTAGATATTACAGCAGCTACACTCTCAGTGAGCTTTGTTACTACATCTCCACCTAAGAGCATGATATCTCTCTTCATAGCGTCTTTGTCCTTGAATTGGCCTATAATCACGAACTGCATGTGCTTCAACGGTTTTGGTTTTGTCTCGACTAGAGGTCCAGAGTCGACGGTGTCCTCCTTCTTCACGGCGCTAGATGTTGACGGCGCGGTTACCTTTATAAGCCGTCTTTTAACTTTGAATTTCAAAGCTTTCCTGTTGGATAATTTGATCGTAAATTTGTCTGTATAGTCTTATTATCGTGCCATGACTAATTACAAAATACTCACAGTTGCGGGTACTCCGCTTTCAGATCTGACGGCAACGAGAATTTTTTTCTTTTTGGATCTTGAGTCACATTTTCGCACTTGGTCCATTCTGTTAAATCTCCGGTGCAAGCGTATCCAACGCCAGAACGATATACAAGTTGACCGTTGCATTTTGGACAGGGTTTTAAAGTTCCAAAACAGATTACATCCGCCAAATACTCAATTATCTGTAACAATCGTTTCTTGAATAATTCAAACGTTGATTTAAAACTATAAATCGTACTGTGCCGATCTAAAATACTCACGGCTGACGTTCCCTCTGGAACCCGTTGATTGTTAGCTTGCAACATAGCAATGAGATCAGATTTTTTTATGGAAGATAATGTATCTTTAATAGCAAACAAAGCGTCTGTTTGTTTTTTCAATTCTGCCTCTTCCTCTGCGTCCTCCGGCTCGCCTTTTATTTTTTTTACCGGTGGCGCATCGTCCGATTTAATTTTCGGTAAAGCATCTTTAACTTTCTTCAAATCATCTTTGGAAAGATCTTCTTTGCCAGGAAGCATATCACCGCTCTCGAAAAATTCTACATTTTGTCTCACTTTGGCAAAACATTCCAGATGATACCATCTATCGAGACCGCCAAACCTTCTGGCATTCTCGCTCTCGTAATCTTTTTTCGATACTCTTATCTCCTTCTGTATTATTCTTTCCTGGCAAGCTACACAAGTCGATTTACTAGATTTTGCATATTGAACCAAAAAATCACGTAAGGGACCTGCAGCAGCATTGCTAACTCGCTTTTTTCCTCTCCCAGATGGTGGTGGTGGTAGATTTATACACTCCTCTATCGAGAAAGAATAAAAAAAAATAATTTTCTTTGGATCCTCCTATTCTGTTAGGTACAATATCATTATAGTTGTATGTACGAACCAATTTTCTTCTGAATCTCCTTCTGATCTTCCCAACGGATATTATCGAAATTTCCAATATCTCCAATAGCTTTTGGTCTTTGTTTAACGAAAAAACATTTAAAATGGTACCACTTTGGGACCTTTCCATCGTGAACGGGACTCTAACGATTGAGAGGAGAAATAAGTTTAACAAATTCAATCTATTGCAATATTCCTGATACACAGAAGAAAATTATCAAGACTTGATGTTTTTAAAGAAAATTAACATAAGCGAGGTAACAATTTGTGTAAAAGAAAACCGGCAATATTGTACGGAATATCGGCTTCTTTGTCTCAGGAAACCGTTGATGGTTCTGGAATATTATGTATCAACGACGGACAAAAAGTAAGAGAGGTGTTTACTGGTTGAAAATTGATTGTCTTCAGCGACTGTGACAACGTAAAAATTGAAATTGAAGTAACGGTAACGAATACCGGTATTGCGTACCTGGACGATCACGGCGAGTCTCAGCGTGTCCTTTTGGATAGAATTTTTACACGTTTGGCAAGAAGCTCGCGAACTTTTCGCATATTCTACACAGTACGGCAAATCGGGATTCATTCCTCCGTCTTCGGCGAATTCTATTACCGTTTTAGATCGTTTCCGTTTAAAGTTCAAAGCGATGCACTGCTATTCTAACGAACAGGGTAACAAGACAATGTCAATGCATTCGCCTCCAGTGAGCGTCCATAAAATCAGAAAACTGCGCGTAGCGTTGCCCGCCAAATTCTGGTACGTTCAGAAATCTGACCTATTTCCTCACGTCAATGCAATATGCTTATCGTTTAAAGCTTGTTAACTTGTAGTTTATTTCTTAGTCTTTGCATTCTTCTGAAATCAGTCACTTTGGTCGACACGAAGAATAGAAAATTACAAAATCCTTGTTCTTTAAAATATACCCGTGCATCAAGTTAGGTACACGGAAGATACATAGCTCCCCCTATTGCATGAAAATGGACGAAAAGTGTACCGCCAAAACTGTAAGCGATTGTTTATTATAACAGAAAGAAAATTTGCTCTCTGATTATAATATTCGTTTTAGTTTCCGTTTATGGACGGTCTATCCATATTTCTGTAAGTTTTAGCTTTAATTTGAATCGCGTTTTATTAAAATTCGTTTAGTAGAAGCCGAAACGCGAAGGAGCACGTCCACGCGACCCAGAGGATGTTACAAATAAGCACAAGATGTAATACAATTGTTGGTACACTTTATTTTTATAATCATATAATATATTGTACAAATTATTACAGTAAACTATATATTTTTCGTAATTACGTCTATGAATGTTTTTCTGTTTCATGAACGCAGCTTGCCATAAAAGTGGCTGGCAAGTGTAATAACGTAGAATTAAATAATACAGCCATACAGTGCAAAAAATGCACTGTCGTTACTATTTTTTTTCGACGAGTGCAATTTCCCTTCTCTTAAAATTATTTCTATGTATCTATATGAACAACGTACAAAAACTTATCAAGAAACGATCGAAATTAATTTAAATTAAACCTGTTACTTTTTTCGACTATCTACACATTCGTATAGCGGGGTAAACCTATTGTAAATCCATGATGTTTACAAGATGATTAATTCTCCCTCCGTTACATACCAGCCGCTATATAATAT